ATTCAAATACCTTTCTTTAACTACTTTTCCATATTGTGCGTGAGAATATTATCAATGTATTGTAATAGTACGATTTCTATTAATTTGTGCTATAAAAAAAAAAAAAAAAAAAAAAAACCGATATAATGTGTCCAAATAGAGAAATAAATAATCGAGCTTCTGAAAGTAAACGAAAGTTGCGATTAATATTTTATATTTATACCTAAATATTTTATATTTTATTAATAAGCTAATATTTTGTTTTTTTGTTTTTTTTTTCATATTGTAAAGATTTAATATTGGCATGTATCTTAGTGATTGTAAATAATTGTAATTCCTTCATTAAAATAAACAACAGGCATTTAACATTGTTATAATAAATAACACTTTCTTATAATTAATAACACGAAGTTGAATTTAATGTAGAAATATGTTAACTGGTATAATTAAGTTATATTTATATGATTTGTTTTATGCCTTCTTGAGCTCCAACGATATATCAAATGATAACGTTTGATTTTTAAATTATCAAATTTGAAAAATAAAACTAGAATAAACTAATTTTCGTATTTACACAAAATTATAATTGCAATTATGCGGAGAATTGTTTTATAAATAAAATGACTGACATTAAGATTGTGTGGATGTGGACAGTGAATATTGGTGAATTTCAAACGCAAATAAGTAGGTATAATCAATTCAATGTAATTCAACGTAATTTGTAATCAAACATATTTTGCGAAAACAGTTTTTCATTGTAATAAAAAAAAAAAAAAAAAAACCATATTAAGTAAGAGTATTATTTTCATTAAAAATCTTAGAAAAATATTAGTCATTGATAAACTCTTTAATAAATAAGCAATTTATATTTTGACGATAATTTTCTATTCAAAATAATTCGATAAATTCATTCATTATCCAAGTGATTGTAAATCATTAAGCTTATTTAATTACTCCTTAAGCATATTATAAAAAAATTTTGCATCAATGAATAATTAATTTTCAGCTAATTTAATGCGTAGTTATTGTTGCAGCTGAACTATTAGCTTTGAAATTAATAAAAATTAAAATCTACAAATTAACGTCAAAAAAAAAAAAAAAAAAAAAAACAACTTATTTTCCATGCTTATATGTATTTTTAGTCTATTTTTAATGAAAAGACAAATATTAATAATACAATGTATTGTGTTAGTTAAAGGGCATGCACGATCACGCCAAAGTAGCTGCAATTTGGGGCCTCAATGCTGCACTTCAGTCAAACGATAATTTTTTCGTTCTCTGTACGGCTTACGGAAATATGATAATTATAGCTCACAATTCTCAATATAAGTAAGATATGTTAATAGTTAATAATTTAATATGGAATTAAAAATTATTAATTATAAGGCTTGTATATCTTGTACGATCGACACTTCCATCGAATAATTATTTTTATTCATTAATTTTATTGCGCCTATTTTGCCGGAATACTTGCAGCTACAGATCAATCGAAATTTCAAATAATTTTCAAAAACATTTTACAATATAATCAAAGCCTTCGACGATAATATTAGCCAATAAGCAATTGGAAAAACTTCCTAGATCAATTATACCACATTTGGAAAGGAGCGCGATAAATCTGTGCAATCAAAGAAATACTGCGATAGAATTTCAAGAGCTGACCGCCGTTGCTGAGCTCTACATGCAAATTTTCTTCTCGCGCTGGATAAGAGGAATGATTAATTCAGCGAGTGTAGTTGGCCTAATATCTATAAGACTGGCTCGCACGATTAGATCAATAAATTTAAAACTAATGATTTTGCCAAGGCTAATTCAGTTACTAATAATGGAATATAAATATGACATCGCCATCGTAATGCTTCAAGAATTAGGTGTGAACAATTTCTGTCATCGTACTTAAGACTTTCTAAGCTTAATCAAATATCTAATAATTTCATATTAAATACAATGTTATGGCTAATTCATGAAAAATTATTAATAACATACATTGAGCTTATAGTCAATATATATAATACATTTTTGCGTTTGTGATTGAAAAAATTGAAACAAAAACAGACGAAAAACATTGAATGAGTTAATCGTTAGAAATGTTACACAATTGAAATTCATCGATTAAAAGAATATATATATATATATATATATATATATATATATATATATATATATATATATATATATTCTAATATGTTAATATTCTAGAATTTATAGCTCAAAGTGATATGGATCAATCTGGTAGAACTTGGTATTATTCCTTGTGCATAGATTTATTATTAGAATCGGGACTCTCGATTGTATCGCCTGAAGAATGTGAGCAATTTTATAAACAGGAGATTAGCAAAATTACAAATATACGAGATACTGAAGCTGCTAGAAGATTATACGTTTCCATGTGGCTGTGGTATTTTCTTTTTTCTTCACTTTATACTTATATATTTAAATGCTGAATACACGATTATTGTGGATACTTTATATAAGCTTAAATGTGATATTGATGATCGGTAGAGTATAGTAAAAATATAATGATTATATAATAAACTAATCATTTTTCATTTTTACAACAAGGTATTTAAGAACTGATAACTGGGAAAATGCCACTGCTTGGAAAAACAGAAAAGTATGTTTATGTATAAGTTCGAATAATAGCGACAATTATAAGCATTAAAAATAATAATACGCGAATAATAAAATATAATACATTTATATAACTTATTTGACAGCATTATGATCCCACATTTTATGAGTTCACGGTACCCGCAGCACTATCAGAGTTAAAAAATCTCGAAGGCTTAATTATTAATTACGGTATGAAAAATTGTATAAATTTAATAAAAAAAATATATATATATATATATATATATATATTTACCTATGTTTATAATTTGATAATTAGATATCGACATTTTATTTCGTTGCAGTTTACAAATTAAATAATAGATATTCTACGAGTGCTGATAAAATTCTTGCTCAAATAAAAAAAAAATTTAAAATCATCAATAATTTTAAAAATATTGTAACATGCATATATCCCAGGTATGAACAAAAATTATTAATAATTTTTGATAAATATTTAAGATATATACGTTAAATTAAAAATTTATTTTAACATTTAATTGCCCTATGATTTACCAAATCGTTGAATCGAACGATTTTTACTCGATTCTAAAACATAAAATATTAACTTTCGCGAATTACTAATATTACATCTATCATTACCATTCCTATTAAACTTTTTTATCTTATTTTGTTTTTTGTGTTATTTTGCGCGCGCGCGTGTGTGCGTGTCATAATTATGTATTCTACAGATTATAATAATTAAAATCTTTTCAATTTATATTATCGACTTTACATCGACTTTTCACGTTGCGAATATTATTAACGATCACCAGTCCTAAAAGCAATAAATAATTTTTTAACGTATCAATACGGTTATTAGAAATAAATTTTCCGCCTGACAAAGTTGGGCCTCTTATTATTTTAAATAAAAATTACAGTTTAGCAAAGCTTTTCAACCGCATTTTAGCTTAATATAAAATTTATAACTCTCCAAAAAGATACGAAGGCAAATTTTTAAATCTTAAAATAGAAAATAAGCAATAACAAAATTAATACATTTTTAATATTTGTGATACTAATGGTATTACTAATGTAACAACTTTCGAATTGCTTTTTAAATGAAAGATTCTTACTGATGAAAGCCTATTATAATATGGTAAGATTTCGGACAAAAAATGGAATGGCATTTTTACGAAAGTCGAAAAAAGTATCTGAGAAATTAGGAAATTTATTGATATACAATTGGGCAAATCATTGCGAAAAGGTATATGGAATTTGATTATAAGCTCACTTAATGTAACGAATAGAATTTAATTTAATGTTATTTGAAAATAATTGTAAGAACATTGAAAATCAATTTTACCGATACGTGTTTTATAGTCATGGATGGGCTCGTTGAGCTTAATTCAG